CCCGCTCCCGACAGCCTCACCCTGGGCGCCTCGGGCGGCAGTGGGTGAGCTGCTCCTCCTTCTTTTGCTCCAAATACAAATAGTGGCAATAAAACGAAAGTAAAAGAAAAAAACAAAAACCAAAACCGAGGAACCCCCCCCCAGTTACACTACAGTTTTCTGTGTGCATCCACGTGGATGCTCAGCAGAGATGGACTCAACTCAGAGACACTTCTGCCTCTTCCCTCTTCCCCTTTCCTTTCCTTTCCTTTCCTTTCCTTTCCTTTCCTTTCCTTTCCTTTCCTTTCCTTTCCTTTCCTTTCCTTGCCTTTCCTTGCCTTTCCTTCCCTTGCCTTTTTTTCCTTTCCTTTCCTTTCCTTTCCTTGCCTTTCCTTGCCTTGCCTTTCCTTGCCTTTCCTTGCCTTTCCTTTCCTTTCCTTTCCTTTCCTTTCCTTTCCTTTCCTTTCCTTTCCTTTCCTTTCCTTTCCTTTCCTTTCCTTTCCTTTCCTTTCCTTTCCTTTCCTTTCCTTTCCTTTCCTTTCCTTTCCTTTCCTTTCCTTTCCTTTCCTTTCCTTTCCTTTCCTTTCCTTTCCTTTCCTTTCCTTTCCTTTCCTTTCCTTTCCTTTCCTTTCCTTTCCTTTCCTTTCCTTTCCTTTCCTTTCCTTTCCTTTCCTTTCCTTTCCTTTCCTTTCCTTTCCTTTCCTTTCCTTTCCTTTCCTTTCCTTTCCTTTCCTTTCCTTTCCTTTCCTTTCCTTTCCTTTCCTTTCCTTTCCTTTCCTTTCCTTTCCTTTCCTTTCCTTTCCTTTCCTTTCCTTTCCTTTCCTTTCCTTTCCTTTCCTTTCCTTTCCTTTCCTTTCCTTTCCTTTCCTTTCCTTTCCTTTCCTTTCCTTTCCTTTCCTTTCCTTTCCTTTCCTTTCCTTTCCTTTCCTTTCCTTTCCTTTCCTTTCCTTTCCTTTCCTTTCCTTTCCTTTCCTTTCCTTTCCTTTCCTTTCCTTTCCTTTCCTTTCCTTTCCTTTCCTTTCCTTTCCTTCACAGCTCACCTTTCCCTCCTCTCCCTCACATCTCCCACCTCCCCAAGGCTCACCAGTGCCCACCTTCCCACACGCACCTCACCCCGCTCTCCCAGCCCACCGTGCATTAAACCCAAGTGTGTCTGCAGAAGACGAGTCTCTCTGGCAGTTTCCAAACTCACCTGCAAAACGCTGCTTGCCGCTAGAATCCAGGGCAAAAGCCACCTCATCCCTGGAAGCCGGGATTAAATACATTGATTGAACCCAGATTTAGAGCCGTTTTGAACAAAAACACCACTTTGGGGAATGCAGCGCAATCCTGAACTGGCAACCTAGCCTAAGCACTGCCTTTTTCTCTTGGCTCTTTGGGGATTTTATTAAAGACAGATCTGACGTCAGGGTGAAGGACAAGCCCTGCATTTTTCCTCTGGAGAAACTTTTCCTGCCTTCGCTTCTTCATTTTTGTGTGTGGTGTTGTCCCACCTCCTGTTTCAGTGTCTCGCCGTTAGCCAAAGGGCTCTTAAAGGGAAAGCTGCAGCGCTGTGGTCCATCGCGCTGCGATGTTGCACGGCACTGAAACGCTCGCAGCGTACCCCTCACGCTGCTCAGGGCGTTCAGACTCGTGCAACTTAGCTAGTGCGGCAAGGAACCTTTGATCTGGCTTCACTGATTAATGACCTGACGTGTATACAAATACGCACAGATGTTTGATTTATTTAATCTTTTGAAAAGAGTGGCTTTAATTTGAAGTGCGAAAGGATGTTTGTCCTGTGAGCACACCGCGCTGGAGGCGGTCTGCTGGGTTCCTCGGGACCCCACTCTTTACAGAGCAACACACAGGGGAAATGAAACGAAGGGCACATTGTCCCCTGCCATGCTATGCGTCCCTTACGAGATTTTGGTGGAGCGTATCAGAGTGTGCATCTGTTCCTGGGCCTGGTTCTATTTCTCTGCCGTGCCAGCAGTGGGCATAACAAATATTGCCCAAGTAAGTCTTGCAAACCCCACCTGAACAGAGCGAAACTCTCTGATCACCTGTATCCCTGCTAACGTATACCCTGATTATAGCTGCGTCATCTCTGATGTGTTTTTCTGCTTTCACCTAGGCACAAGCACAGTATTTTCCCTCAACCCTCTAAATCTGAATCTGAAAGAATTTAAAGTCTCTTTCATCCTTAAAATGAAATAGAATAGTGTAAGGAAAATGAGTGCTTGCAAAGGGAAGAAAAATCATATTAAACAGCTTTACATAACTTAAACACAAAAAAAAAGAGTCAAGACAAGGGCTAAAAGAGATGCCAAGGTGAATTTAGAAGCAGGCAAACCTTCCTCTTGGCATGGGGGCAGCGATGGGTGGGTGAACACTGACAGCCAAACTAGAACCCAGCTGGTGCCTTAACCTCTGCTCAGGCTTGGCTGCCTCCTGTAACTCAGGTGTGCCAGGTCGGGTTGGGGTGAGGCACCCATAGGGCCCCACAGCAGCCATCCCAGCCCCCCTGGGGAACTGGTGCTGTGGTGGGGTTTGCTCCCCAGACCTGGCATGGCTGAATGCTCAGAGCTGCAGCTGGCAGCGAGTGAGGAGGGGACAGCAAGGAAGCTGTTCTCCAGTAACCTGTCTTCTCCCAGAGACTTTCATCTCTTCACGCTGTGTGACGTGATGTGGGCGGTTTGATGGCTGCTCACCAGCTGCACCAGGGAGCTCTCAAAGGACCAGATTTTTTATGTGACAGTCTGGACATGTGGCTGCCCTGCGAAATGCTCCAGCCAGAGCCTGGCTGCAAACCAGAGGAAGTGCCACCTTCTGTCTTCCTCCTGCAGCACCTCCACCCAGGAGTCCACAGCCCCTTCCCAGGACATACTAACCTAAAGACCAGGTTAAGGACTTTATTTTCTGCCACGTTCCTCCAGGGCCATTTCTGTTCTCCTTCCTCTATATCCTTTGCTCTCTTTCCTCACTTCCTCTGTTCACTTATTCTACCTCTCTCTATTTCAATATTTACCTCTCACCCCACTCTGACACCAGCACACATCCTCCCTCGTACACCAGCAATACTCAGCCAAGGGGACTCTTTCTCTGCTGCGGAATCTAGAAAGAAGCCTGCTTTTTTCATGTCATCTGGGGTGGCATTCATCTGTAGGTGGCCACCACTCCCTGCCTGACTTTGTGGTCCAAATCCCTGAATACTCTGTGAAGAGAAAAGAGCATTTTGAGAGTGCCATTCCTCTGACCTAGGTGAGATGTCCTCTTAAAAAAAGAGGTGAAACTAGATGGATTAGCCTGGGCTAACAGGCTCCGATGTAAAGTTGGTGGCTAATACCTTGTACAAGTCATGCTTGCTGGCTTGGAGCTGAAGAGGCCAGTGCTGTCAGACCTAGCAAAAGTAACTTTGCAAATGGAAGAGGAACAAGAGTTCAAAGCTCTTGGGTTATCAGACTCCAAAATCAAGTGGAAGGACACTTTGTAAATGACACCAGAAATGGAAGTGTGTTGGTTTGGGGTTTTCCCTCAAAACAATTGGTTATCTCACTCTCTTTTGACAATTTCCCCTGAATATTTCATTCCCCTCAGATAATTCCTTAGCTAATGCTGTGGTCAACTCTGTCAGCAAGGATGGAGTCTTTGAGATGTGGACATCTGGCTGCTTGCAGCTCATCTCATGTCGATCGTGGGAGTTTGCCATATGGTGACCATAAGCCAGACACTCTGTCTTATCCTGGATGAGACAGGGATCAAGGAGCAGGACTGCAGCTCCAGGCCAGGGGTGCTGAGACATCCAGCTGCCTCAGCAGCCTTTCTGAGAGTGATTCCTGCATAGCTATGGCACATTAGTGCGCTTAAAGGTGTGACTGGGAGCAAGGTTATTTCATTAAGTCTCAAATGACAGGGACATTTAGGCTTTTGTTTAACTCAAAGATGGCAGCAGCCCACACCTTGACTTCTGCTTCTGGAGACTCTCAGTTCCCTCTAAGGATGACAATGACAATGACAAAAAGAGACCATTGCAAACGTGTCTCACCCTGGCTTAATCTTGGGAAGTCTTGTATTGACCCTGATAAATGGAGGTTCAAAAGACACTTCTCTGTCTAGTTCAAAGATTTAAACTCAATTTAAGATCTTCAAATGATGGAAAATCCACTTCATGTTTTGGTGTGTTCAGTTAGATTCACTATTAAAATTCTGTGCTGTATTTTCAGTCTGAGTTTGCTAGTTTCATCTTTTTGCCAATGTCTGCTTGGCTGAGGAGAGTTCAGTTCCTTCTTCCAACATATAAACATTCTGACTCTTTTTTTCAAGGGCTTTTAAGCCTCAGTGTCTAATTGATTTTCTAGACCTTGAAGCAATTTTATAGTTTTAGTAACTTTTGTCTCTTTAATTTTCAGTTTACATGGACATTCTGTCTGTGAGTGCAACTCTCCATCACTCTGCAGTCACGCCATCCATAGTGAACTGGGAACAGGTAGCATGCCCTAATGCAAGCTAGCTCTGATTCTGTTAGCCTAACACCTACATATTGCTTCTTCCTCAATATGTCCCTTAGGCCGCTCAGCCACATAAACAGGTTTCTAAATTTGACTTCAGTCTACAATCTTTTTAGACTGAATAAACTGGGAAATTGAGTGACTTATTTTATGCTGTTTGATGTGCTTGACACTTTTATTGAAGGCTGTAGCTGGCCAAAGAACACAGGTACTGCTAAGAACAAATAGAGTGTTCATGGAAGATGGATGCTACTCTTGCTTGCAAATGCATGGCAGGAATAGTTCCTTGTCTGTAGTGGATTTACCCTGTAATAAGTGAGATCAGAGTCTGCCTACAAGTCCAAGGGAAAAAAGAGCACCTTGGAATTTCCTGAGTCATAAAAGGTAAAGGCTGAGTCATGATTGTGGCGTTTAAACAAGCCGAACAAGTAGCCGTGTTAGTTTTCTACCAGGGTTCCCTTTTTTCTGTTTTTCTCCATGCTGGAATGATGGAGGAGACCTCCCTTCCATGTAGGAGTTGCCTGCTGAATAGAAGAGGCCCCGCTGGGCCTGCAATCAGCAGCAAGGCTGGGAACCTCAACCCCTTCAGGAGGCACATGCTGGAACGGGAAGGGAGGTGGGGGAGTCAAACTGCACTGTCTCTTATTGTTGCTGTTACTACTATTTAGGTGGTGGGAAGGAGAGTTACATCAGCCTGACCCTTTGAAACACCAAAGAGGCTTTAGAAAGAAGAATATGAAAACATCTGGTTTAGCCGACTCTTGATAACATCAAGCATCTGAGCACTCAGCCAGCCTCACTTCAGCACAGGTGAATATCTCATTTCCACAGAGTTATTTGGCTTTGTAGATGAGACCTCACACCACAGAGTGCAAGAAGCTGCAATATAGCAGTAGGACTCACGCTTTTGCTGTCTAAACAGTCTTTCCAACGAAGATGGACTGGAATCGCAATATAGATAGAGAGCCAAAAGCTCCTTCGCTCCTTTGCTCCTGTTCAGCCTTGTATCCCTGGTACCATGATGTAGAAGGTACCAGCAATGAGCTAATGTAGTAAATCCACCACTGGATTCCCTCAGTCCCTTAAAAAATGCCAGGTGAAGTGAGGTACCTTGAAATACTGCTCAGCCCAGGTTTCCATTACTAAGTAAATACATAGAATAGTAGAATCACAGAATGGTAAGGGTTGGAAGGGACCTTAAAGATCATCTGGTTCCAACCCCTCTGCCATGAGCAGGGACATCCTCCACTAGACCAGGTTGCTCAGAGCTCCATCCAACCTGGCCTTCACCAGTTCCAGGGAGGGGGCAGCCACAGCTTCTCTGGGCAACCTGGGCCAGTGTTTCATCACCCTCAAGGTGAAGAATTTCTTCCTAATATCTAATCTAAATCTGCCCTCTTTTAGTTTACAACCATCCCCCCTTGTCCTATCACTACACACCCTTGTGAAAAGTCCCTCTCCATTCTTCCTGTAGGCCCCCTTCAGGTACTGGAAGGCTGCTATAAGGTCACCCCGGAGCCTTCTCTTCTCTAGGCTGAACAGTGCTGTGTGGCATGGACTCCCTGTTCAGTCATCCTTCAAAGGCTGATAACACACCCAAAAGGTAAAAAAAAACCCAGTTAGTTCAGGTAAACCAGTCAGACTGTCAGCACTCCAGGACTGAATGATTACTTCTCCAAAGAGCTGGTATAAGTCAGATCCACTGATACAGGTGAAGCCGTGGCTAAATCTGAAAAATGGAACCTTCAATATTTAATTTGTTCATGCAGCCAAATCCATTTATATTCAAGTGAGACTACTGCCTTTAGGGAGACACAACTGAGGTTTCATCCCCCATAAATCCCTTGGATTTATCAGG